TTGACTTTCCTTGAATCCTTGGCATGAAGTGAAAAGGTCCCATGAACGTCCTAAAGGCGCCCAGAGTGCAAATTTCAACTTTTAAAAACGAAACTTTTGGGGAAACTCAATCGAATTGCAAAAGACCGTGAAATCATACCCTAATAGAGCCCTGGACGCTTGCGCTTTCACAGGACGTACTTTGTACGTCTTCAACCCCAAAATTGAACCTTAGACAGACGCGCCAAAAGTTTCTGAAGGTATTTTAGTGAAACGCTCGTTGACTTTCCTTGAATAGTTGGCATGAAGTGACGTCCCATAAACGTCCTAAAAACGCACGGAGCGCAAAATTCCACATTTAACAAACGAATTTTCTCGGGGTAAATGAATTGGGTTGCGAAAGACCGTGAAATCGTACACGTTCTTGCATGAAAGCCCCGATTTTTGGCAAGTTTTACGTAAAACCGCTCATTTGTATTAGCTTCCACGTCTTACGCTCTGGTTGGTTTTTCTAGCGCAATTTCGGGAAAACTCTGAAAGGAAACGTTCACCGATGAGTTTCGTTGAACCATCGGTTGGGGTCAATCAATGCATAGATTAAACGGGTTTCGTTGTGCTAAATGAGCTGAATATTAACGTATGGACTTTCAATTTCTCGCCAGATGATCTAAACCGTGGCTAAATCGTTTGAGAACTATCGTTAGGTAATAGTGATTAAAACATGAATAGATTAGCAAAAATCAACGGTGTTCTTTCGCACTTTTTCCTAAGTACACGCGCTGCTTTTCTCCTGGTTGCCCAAGATTGGCCGCAGATGGATGAGCGGTTGACCAATTGAACAAGAGACGGTTAAATGAAGGCGAAGGTTTGGAAATTCAATAAAAAATCAGCACCATAATAAGGAAATGGCACCGAAGCGAAGCCGCTTGACCCACAACCATCACGCACTCATCGTTCTGTTGTTTTGACGATACAGTGGGCGATAAGACGATTCTTCCAAAGTGAATTTCTTCATTTATGGCGAGTAGTAGAGCGTTTAGTCCAAGCATGGCCATTGCAGGTGTTCCGGTCAAGTTCTTGCGTTCACTCGTTGAGTGAATAGTGATAGTGAAGCACTGGCCAGTTGGGCCTTTTGCGACCAGCATGAGCTGAAGATTTTGATGAAGAGAAAAAACGTAAGTTTTTCAGTGGTTTACATAAATCGTCGATGAGTTAATGCCTTTAGCCTTTGGCTTAGAGAGTCACATGCCTTGAAGTGGCGAATTTTATTATCAGCAGGAAATTGGCGTTTTTGTTGCCTTTTTCAACGCTTTTTCCATGGCCAATTAAGACAGGTAGAAAGCAGCGAGAATTTCGCCTTTTTTCCAGGCAACATGAAATTAACCGGCCTGAAACCCCTAATTTTGCTTGCTTTGGCGCTGCTGATTGAAGACGCCAAAGCCATAATTTCTTCGCCAAGTGCAGCCAACTGGGGTGGAGATTTCTTCCAGAGCCCCACGAATTGGCCCACCGTCCCGAAGGCTTCTTTCACGCAAAAAGGCTACATTCAGGTGAGCGCCTTTTCAGCCAAAGTTACAACAGATCAGCCCCAATCTCAGTTAATTTATTGGTTTATTTATCGCTCTTTTTGGCGTTTCAGTTCCTCAAATATGTGGTCGATGTGCCGGAAATCACTGACTACACTTTTTGTCTATGGGTCAAAAGCCATAATCTAACGTACAACCATCCGCTGCTGTCGTACTCGAGTAAGTATGGATTTTTTGAAGAAATGAGGAAATAAGAAAACCAGCATAAAACTGCCGTAAACTTTCGACTCAAAGCCCTTGTTTTTGGTGCATTAGAGCATGACAAAGAGCGCCTGATCCGCGTCTGGATTTCCCCGCATGGAACCCACATCAACTTGGAACTGATGGGAAAGACACCATTCACCGTTTCGTCAAAGATAGTGGAGAACCAATGGAACCACCTGTGCCAGTCCTGGTCCTCCCATATGGGCACCTGGGCGTTCTATTTGAACGGGAAACTTCACTCCTCCGGCCATCAGGCGCTGGTAACGCACATTTTACTATCAGCTGCCTCCAACTGGAAAAAACTGGCTTTTTTAGCTGAGGAATGTTCGAATACCAGCCGGAGGCGACTTGGTGGTTGGGCAAGAATACACCGACTTCGATAAGGGGTTGGACGATGGCATCGAGGGCGATATTTCAGGCTTCAATTTGGTTCTTTCTTCCGCCTTCAGCAGGCGGAACGATTTGCTGCAGAGACACACATGGGAGGGTTCCACTCACAAGCCCTTCGGCATGCTCCTAGTAGAACTGGGCCAAGATTGTGGGCTTTTGAGGGGCGCCCCATTGAGTGGAAAGGGAGTGTTGGTCAGTTGGACTAAAACGGAAGTGCGGGTGTTTGGGGGCGCCACCCTGAAGATGACTGTGCCATTTTGTGCCCAGAAACGGTGAACTTGGGACTTGCCGTGCCATTTTTAGTTGGGAAACTTATACGTAATATAGTCAATTTCTAGTCTGGGTTTTAGTTTTTGGCAGCCTCATTGATGATTTTTAGTTTTTGAAATAAACTTAAAAGCTTGGCCGATGATACGACACTGAGCCAACATGTTCATCATAAAGAAACGCACACAATCCGCGATATAAACGTTATCGTAAAACCCGCCTTGATAATCGAATCGTCGATAAATTTAGCGAGTTTCTCGATGTCGGTGTTAGTGCTTAATAAATTAACATTAACAACATCAGAGTGACTACAGGGGCAAAGTGTCGATATACCGTTGAGGATGAACCGCAATCTATCGATCCTTTTGACCTTTGCAATGTTAAAAATACCTTATCATTATTCATTCAAGTCCGGAATTCCCATCTAGTTAGCTTTAAAGTTGCCAGGATTGGATATACTGCTCACCTGAAGCAGCTGTAAAATTTTCAAGTTGCTACTCCATGCAGATCGAATGCTATGTTTGCACAATTAGCGCAAAAATCAGCATTGCATGCGATTTAAATGAATTTCTCTGGGTTTTCAGACTCAAGTGTTCCGGATCGACCCTGAAAATATTAAGTTGCTGCTCGGTCTGTATGGGAAGTTATGAATTTTTAGGAGAGCGACTGCAATCGCGTGAAAACATACACTTTTAAACCAACATTTACACAGAGCAGAGAATTTTAGCAGGAAGCTATTTGAATAAAATTTTCCGGGGTTTAAAATACTAGTGTTCTCGATTGACTGTGAAAATGTGAAGTGACTGCTTGTTGCAGATCGAAAGTTATAAGCTTTTGTGGAAGCGGCTGCAACCGCGGGATCACATACATTTTTACGTTCATCGAATAAGTTCGTATCTGATGCAAATTAATGAAATTTTCAGCATTTTCAGCCTCAGTTGGGCTCGATCGAGTATAAAATGTCCAGCTGGCTGCTCTTTTCAAGTCAAAAGTTATCAACTTTTGTAAAAGAAGACGCAGTTGCATATTTACATTTTAGCACCAATCTTTATAAAAAGTTAAAAAATCAGCATCTGGTGCGATTTAAATGAACTTCTCTGGGGTTTCAAACTCAAGAGTTCTTGATGAATTCTAAATTTTTGCGCCCAAAAAAAATTGATTTTTTACGGGCGCGCTGCAATCGTGTTAAAAAATAGTGATTAGACCAGTATTTACAGCATTAAACAGAAGACCGCACTAATCGGCATCCGGCGCTATTTAAATGAAGTTTGCAGAGTTTTCAGACCCAAATGTTTTCAATCGACTATACAAATTTCAAGTTTCTGCTTGGTTTAGATCGGAAGTTACGATTTCTTAATGAAGAAGTTGCAGTTCGTTCTAACGAACGTTCGTTTTTCCGAAGGCCGACATTTACGAAAAGCGCTAAAGTTAGCCTTTCCTGCGATTTCAATGAGATTTCCAGGTTTTGCAGATTCACCTATGTTCAATCGATTCTGAAAAGTTGAGCTTCTGGCTCGGTCTAGATGGGAAGTTATGAATTGTTATACGAGCGCTTGCAATCGCGTCAAAACACGAACTTTCATGTCAACATTTACAAAGGTCGCAAAAATCAGCATCTAATGCGACTAAAATGATTTTCATCCAGTTTTCAAATTCAATTTTTTTCAATCTATTCTCGAAATTTCAGGTTTCTTTTCGGCTTAGATCGGAAGTTATGCATTTTCATGGGAGCGGCTGCAATCGGGTGAAATCATTAATTTTTAAAGCAAACCTTCTCAAATAGCACACCAATCAGCATCTGATCCGATTTACATAAAATTCTCACCGTTTGCAGATTCGAGTAGTTGCGATAAGCTGTGAAAATGCCAAGATCCTGCTCATTTTAGAGTGGAAGTTATGAATATTTTACAAAAAACAGAAGACAAAAAACAGAAGACAAAAAAATTACGATGAGCGCAAAAATCAGTATCTGATGCGACTCAAATGAAATTTTCAGAGGTTTTAGAGTCAAATGTTGTCGGTAGACTGGAAAAATATCAAATATCTAGTTATCGAAACATCAAGAAAACATTAATTTTGTTTACGACCTAAACTCCAGTTTTGAGCAGTGTATAACTGATGAATGGCGTACGAATTGTCGTTCACGTGCTGCGTTTCGGAAACTCCTCGGGAAAACGCAAAAAACAACATCCGGACGCTCATGAAACAGCGACGTTGTTGCGTCATCAGTGACGTCACTCGTCCTCCAAGCTGCGTCCAATCGGACGCCACTAGTAGCCAGTGGCGTCGCCCCAAACTCTTTGCGCTTGCCAGTTTTCGTTCTTGTTCCACACCTCTTTTGGCAGCGGCATGTCTAGCACAAACTCCATCGATCTCTGCCAACTTCCGGGCTCAAGAACTTCCACTTTCCCATCGGACGGCATGGACGCATGTTTTGCCGCTTTCGACAAGAACTGGTAACTTATTTCCGCTTTATTTATCACTTGAATATTCACAGCACGCTGGTTGATGATACACTTGTGAATTGTTCCGTGCAGTGACGTGCTAGACGCCGCGTTTTCGATGAATATTCACCGTAGTTTTGGTGCTTTGGTCAGGGGCGTATCATCAGGGAAATGTAGTG